CTGCATTTTTCTCTCAACAACATCACCAGCCACAGCAGCAGCAGCAGCACAAACAAGAACCCCAACATGGAAGAGATCATCCAAATCAACGAGCTGCCGGTAGCACAGCTTTGGTCCTTGCTCTGCCTGTGCCTCTACGCCACCGCCTTTAGTACGTCGGTTTCCAATGCCTTTCCTGAGCCCCCTGCGCTTGCCAGCCCTGCCCGTGTTGACATACCCCATGTGATGAGCTCACCCCCACCATCGTGGCCACCTTTGCTCTTTCCAAAGATCCTGGTACTGCTGCTCCGCGCTGCTTGAGGCTGCCCAAAGGACGTGCCCGAACCTTTCCAGATCTGCCCCTGGCCGTCATCACGCTGGTGCCCCGCCATCTTTATCAGCGCTATCCCCACCTTGCAATCAATCTGAGGGACGGTGAAATCGATGGCCGGGAGCGGGTGACTTGCGAACTTCGCAAAAACTGGAAAGTCTGGCTCCGAGCAGTGGGCATGCTGGCCAGTGGAGCATTGCCTTGTCCCTGCGAGGGCCAAGCGTCAGCCTATGGTCACTTGTACCAACCTCAAGAGCATCACATCCAGTGCCCGCTCAACTGCGCCCGTGAGAATGTCAACTGCGCATGTGGTCTCGCCCAGGTTTGTCGTCCCTCTCTCAGCCACACAGAGAACAGAATGGTCACAATGTATCCATTCGCAAGCTCTGACCAGCGGACTCCCTTGATTTGTTTCCAATCATAGTTTGCCCAGAAGCTTGTCTGCATGTTCTTCTCCCTGCCAGAATGGGAGGTGATCGCTCGTGAGTACTCAAACTGCCTGACCTTGATCGACAGACTGCGCGCACCCACGTCCCCTCATCTAAACCGCACTACCGCATAGGCTTTGACAATGAAAAGGACATCAAGTTACAGCTTCGCATGCTGTTGAATGTATCCGATCGATACTTTGCTGACGCGGATGACCATCTCTTTGAAGAGAACGTCACCATGGTGAGCCGGCACCTCAGTCAGCATGGTTTGCGCCTGGAGCGTCATGACCGTTGCTTTCGGGTTCTGCGCCTGACATCAGATGGGCACTGGCTTCCTGTGGCCAACCCCAGCCGCCTAGCCCGGCCACGACAAAACCAGCGCCGACGCCCGCGCGCCCAACAGCGAGCCCAACAGCGACAACACCGCCAACCCCCACGCCAACGCCAACGCCAGGGCATTGCGCGTCACCGGCCCCAGCAGCGCGCTGGAGCTTACCAACCCCAACCTGCCCGCGTGAACCAAGCTGTCGTGGATGATGCGGATCTCAATGAGATCTTGCATGGGCTGTTTAGTGACGAGGCTCAACCGGATGTCGAGCCCAGCTTTGAGATCAAACCGGATGCCGTTGAGCTGCCAGCGGCCGACCCCATGTACTTGGGTATTTCGGATAACTCAAACATGGCTGACCTCAACGCCCTCTCCCTTGATCCCGATGATGGGCTGCTGATCAACCCGAATGCACCCGTTCTGCCTGAGCTGCCGTACCTGGGTATTTCGGAGAACTCAAACTGGCCTGATCCCAACGCCCTCTCCTTTGATCCCGATGATTGGCTGCTGCTGGATGAGCTAGCTCAGTCTAATCAAAATCACATGGAGATCGATGCGCTCGCTGAATTTTTATCTTAGAAGATCATCCGAAAGTCGGACCACAAACAACTGTCAAGTCAACCCCGGCTTGGTCTATTGAGCTCACGCCTGCACCTGAACTGTGATCCATGGCGTATCTACTCGAGGCACTCCTTCGCTACTTCGCTTCGCCCGTCATTATCATGACACGTCTTGTTCTTTTCTGTTTTTTTTTTCCTCCTGTGTGTTTGATTTGCTGTCTTTCATTTTGACTTCTTGTGCATACGAGTCGCTTCCCCCCTTTCGTTCTTGAGATTAGAGTTTGTTGAGTTTAAGAGTGTGAATAGAGAAGAGTCTTGAGCCGCAGGCATGCTTCTGCTCTCGAGTTTCGTGCAGCCCAGCGGGCTGGTCATCGTAGATTGTATGATTGAATTTATTATTCACTTGTCATCAACCACATTGCTCGCCCTGGCACTCGAGACGCGGCAACCTCCCCTTGCCCAAGGCACGTGTGGGTATTTCATCAACAGGAGGAGAGGCGATATCCGGCAAGCGGGTGTGACTGAGCTTGTTGCAGTGGGGCGTGTCAGCTGTATTATCACGTTCTGTGACTTGGACTTGGAGATTGGGGGGGTGAGTCAACGGTTTCATATTTGAGACAAGGAAAACATAAGAGTTGACGGTTGAAAAGGCACAACTTCAACCGGTTGACAAAGCATGGCAGTTGAACGACGAGCGTGGGTGCAACAAAAGAAAAAAAAAAGCCAAGAAGCCCAAAATGCCAAACAGCTCAACCCACCTCAACCCGCTTCAACTTAGACCAAACGCAAGACCCGGTGGCAAGGAATAGAAAACAGCACAGGGGCCGTGACACTCAGCCGTCCAACTTCCTTTTGCTCGCCGTCTCTTGTCTGTCACTTGATGAGGCCGCTAGCAATCACCTCATCCGTCCCACCAGCCCTCCGTAAGCCCGCCGCCGTATCGCGTGTTGTGTTTTGGACTTGAACCTGTCTTTGACCCGCAGCCGTCCAGAGTGCTCTACCTTAGCACAGGTTTTGAGAATGCACGTCCCAGTCCACAAATGTCAGCTTTTCTCCTAAATGTCAGACGTTTTGTCGGTGCGTATCATCCTAATTTTAGTCAAGATGTGCGTTGGGCCCGTTCACCCATAACTCTGACGGACGGATTATCCCTATTTATAGCCCAATGTGTTCAAGACGTTTTGCTTGAGGAATACGCGAAAGAGATGTCACACACACACACACACACACACACACACACACACACACACACACACACACAGAACGCGCTTGAGATCAACAAGGGGTGGGAGTCCTCGCTTTGTCGCTCTCCCCCCTCTTGC